GGGACTAACAGTTGCTCTATAAGGTGCAAATATGAGGACTAAATGTTAGTCATTTGAGGTGAATTGTGGGACTAACGGTTACTCACTAAGGTGTAAACGTGAAGACTAAATGGTAGTCCCTAGAGCTCATTTGTGGGGTTGAGCGGTTAGACCTGGTAGCGTTAGTCTTTAAATGGATTACTTTTTGTGGCAGCCCCATTAGTTCCCAAAAGGGCAAACCAAACACTCTTTTAACACCATTTTGCCTTAGAGTGAAGTTCCGCTTAACACCTGCACTGTTCTTCAGGCACAGACGACCGTGTAACGAGAATAGGGCACGCTATGTAGTGGTGACGCGCTCATCGTGTCCGCAGCGTTGTGAAAGCAGTTCTCCAACGCAAATGAAGTGCTATGTCCAATTTTTACACATAAAGCTGCTAGTAGATCGCAACTCGGGTCAAGCGTGGCGCCGTAGTTGTCCGCTCCCGCCGGTGTCCATCACCACTTTCACAAGAAACAAACCTAGTATCAAGGACACGGTGGGGCTCGAAAACACGACTACTGCTTGACATCTCAGCATTCTCAGCCACGCTTGTGCTTTAAACTTGTTCGCAAACTTGACGTAAGTAAGCTTGATGTCGGGAAAGTAATCGCGTTCATGTGATAACAAACCGTTTTATAACAGTAAAAGAACAACCTGGTGCCAAACAATGCGAATAGCTTAATAGTGGGCCCTCCAATGCTACAACCAATTACAAAAGCCTGTTTTTGATCACCTATTAATTGTGAGGCATACCCACTTCACGTATAATTCCTCATTATCGTCAACCAATGCATGGGCAACTGGCACTAAATTCCTTGCAAGTGTTTAGCTGATATCACGCTTTTCAGAAGAACGACAAAAAATAACATAGCAAATGCCGGCCTACTAACCAAAAATTCATATTATAAATGCCGTAGTGAGCACCTAGAAAGTTTGCTTGGAGCAGTTACCCATTGAGTGGTCAACAAATGTTCTGACAGGCCACTCTTCCAGCTTTCGCTGCGACTGTGCTGCGCCTTCCGTGCAAGCCTGGCATTTTTTGTTCAGTTCATCGTGGATTGCGTGACCATCATCTGCTGCTGTTTAGATAGGCCATCACAATGAGCATATACAAGTTGTGGTTTACTATACGAGTCTATGGTTGCCAAAAGTTTCCCAAAGGTGGCCTGGAATAGTCTATAATGAGCGACAGTCTGCCTGCGTTGGATAAATCACGTCAGCAGTTAGCGAGCGCTTAAAGGCACTTACATTTAGCTGAGCAGTGCGAGCCAAGTAAAGAAGTAAACCCAATAACAAAAATCACAAATTTCAGTTACTTAACCTAATATATTCGTGCCTAACCTCACCTAAGCCAACTGCAAGTGAACCACTTTAACCTAACCTAACGTACATTTAGCAGCCCCGTACAGCCTTTTTCGAAAATAACAAGCTTAGTGGCAGTTTGAAGGAAACGTATACAACCAAATGGGTTCATGTGTACTCACTTGCCTAAACTAATTCTGTCATTGCCATTGCAGTCTTTTCTCACTAGCACCTATCATTATTTCTTGAGCAAGGTTTTTTTCAATCCGTCTGTTTATTGCTTTTTTTCTCTTAGCATTGTATGTCGCAGTAATTTTAAGGAAGCTTTCTCCCTCTCTAGCTGCTCATTGCATTGCCTCATTGTGACAGCTGCTTCCTTTTCTGAAACAATTAACATGTGCAAATGCACTCGCTTACATCGTGTAACATAAAAAAATTACTTTGAACAGTGCATGTTTTCGATGATGAGCACTTTCATGTCGTGGTCATGCAAGCCCGATGCCAGAAGCAGTGCGAGTGTGTTTATATGTGCAGTAAGAGAAAATCTTTCGAAGTTTTGAGGCGGTGACAAGAATGACGCAAAATTTTATTACCGGGCTAAATTGTTGAGGACAACAGCAAGACCATACTATGAACAAAGTCGATGAAGTAAGCGATTTAACAGCATGTTTCAATTTTTTCAGACAAGTAAATAGAGGTGACAAAATTTCCGCGGCTCACATCGCCATCACAAAACGCTTGCCGACGCTGAAAGGAAAAAACGCCTGTTCTGAAAAGGTACTGCCACGCGCGTTTATTAAATAATGCCAGGGCTTACGCCAACAAGTCAGAAACACACATGATGTCATTATTTTAGAGCAAGAACAAAACATGGTAGGGATGGAGCCATTGACACGACTTAGGAATACGTAGTACGAGTAGACGTACCTTCAGGTGACGAAGAAAACGAATGTCGACGTAAGCTTGACAAACGACACACTCCAATTTCGTTCCTCAGTTCTCCTTAAGAAACGAGAACACTCGCCACTTCGGTTCTTTTGCAGCAATAATTTGCCACGCATCATTGTCTAAATGTTCAAACTTGTACCCGTACCGATTGTGAATATCCAGTGCACGGAGCGCATCGCACATCCACGCTCAAGTTCACGGACATAGAAAAAAATGTTATTCTCGAGTCACCAACAAGCACGCCAGGGCGCCACAAAAACGTTCGTCAGGCTCGGCAATCCATGTCTGTCGAGTGACAAGAGCAAGCGTAGGCACGCCTGTGCAGCGAAACACACCAGTCTAAACGGAGTGACGTCAAAAGACATGGCAGATACGGTGCCCCGCCACGGTGGTCTAGTGGCTAAGGTACTCGGCTGCTGACCCGCAGGTCGCGGGATCAAATCCCGGCTGTGGCGGCTGCATTTCCGATGGAGGCGGAAATGTTGTAGGCCCGTGTACTCAGATTTGGGTGCACGTTAAAGAACCCCAGGTGGTCAAAATTTCTGGATCCCTCCACTACGGCGTCTCTCATAATCAAATAGTGGTTTTGGGACGTTAAACCCCACAAATCAATCAATCAATACAGTGAGCAGGCCTGAAATTATCTAGGAGGCTTCGGCTTGTCGTACCACCTCGCTAATCATGACGAAAATAAGCTGAAGCACAAGAGCTCGTAGTATTGCCAACGGCAAATGGTGTATATAAATAATTGTCGTCAGTGTCTAGAAATACGTGATTTCTGTGGCCTAGTCGTCTCGCGCTACGCGTAAGGGAACTAGGGGTAACAAGTAAAGCTCCGCAAGCTAGAATCATCACCTTGGTTTTTTTTTTGTAACCTGTTAGCCTATATTTTACGTGATATTCGTGGCAGAAATACAACACTGTAGCAATGGTAGGCCCCGGCACAAAATACTTTGGTCCTAAAAAGTGGCTCAAACCCACAATGGAATGAATTTCGACTTTAAAATTAGGCGAAGCGTTAAACAAACGGTAGGGCACTATAAGCTTCACTTTCAAGAGTTGAATGCGATAGCGATGTTCTGGCCCTAGTGTATAATGAATTCAAAGCAGCTTGTGTCAGCGAAGCTTTCACATGTGGCAGCATTTTGTGCAACTGGTAGAGTGAGATCTTTATGAACTTGCTATGCACCCACTACATGGCCTCAAAGGGGAAATACGCAGTAAGCGTGCGTGCCTTATGCAGAGGGTGGCACGTTTTAAACTTTGAAAGCATGATATTCACGTTCCGATTACGTTCGCATTGTATTACTGCGAAATTACATGTTGCATAGTGAAGTGTGTATTGACTGGTCGCGTGTTTCTGCAAAACATAAAATTTATTTTCACAGCACTTTTACTTAGAGTAATTTAATTTCCCCATTTTGAGGCAGGCTCAAGGCTCTCAGATAGAACACCTGCTTGCCACGCGAACAACTTGGGTTCGATGCTAACTCGGACCCGATTGTTAACATTTTATTTCAATATTTCACGGCTTCCACTCAAGCACGAAACTTGCTCACAACCTATGTCATGCCGCGGTGGTCTAGTGGCTAAGGTACTCGGCTGATCACCCGCCATTCGCGAAATCCCATCTCTGTAATGGCGGCTTCATTTTTGATGGAGACGAAAATGCTGTAGGCTCGTGTGCTTAGATTTTGGTGCATGATAAAAAACCACAGGTGGTAGAAATTTCCGGACCACTCCACAAGGCGTCTAACATAATTAAATGGTGGGTGTGGGACGTTAAACCCCACATATCAATCAATCGCTCACAACCTAGACGTCTACACGAAAATTGCTGCGAAACGAACGCCAAATTATTTCTTGGAAACAGATCATTCTTTCAGAGGAGCCGAGCAAGCAGATATATAACAACTTTGAGACATTTCAAGGAAGGCGCGTTTGACGTAACAAGATGCGGTACGTGTACATGCAGCCGCTCATAAGAAATTTCCACCCGGACCATTGAAAGTTTACCAGCTGAAATGCTGGCCTCTATCACAAGTGAATTGTAACGAACCCGCTATTATAATTTCATTTACACCAAGGATTGGCTATATAAAAGCGCCTTGGGCAATGACCGAAATTCACATTTCCGAGGTGTTCGTTATAAAGCTAACTTTTAAATAAACTGTGTTACTTCAACGCTACTTGGTTTGAACACTTGTTTTGGTGCAGTCTTTAGAGATCACATAAAAATATTAAGCAGCGCACTTCCAGCATCCATGAATTGACACACATTTGCTGTGTGTGTTACTTCAATGCTACTTGGTTTGAACATTTACTTTGGTGCAGTGTCTGAAAACCACGTAAAAATATTAGGCAGCACAAAACCAGAATCCATCAATTGACACATATTTGCTGCGATTTCACAGAAAGCTTTTGTTTATAAGAACGCACTGATTTATTGCATCGAAGAGAAACAAAAAGTGTATACAAAGGAAAGAAAAATGGTGATTAGATGCTTGTAAAATACGAACAAATTAACTGCAATTGGCTGCTTAACACAGCAAAATAATACATGATTAAGCAAATTAGTGTCAATTGGATGGTAATTATAGGTGGCAGATTAATAGCTAACATATACATAAAACACAGACACTTTACAGGCGTTCACAGTTGCAAGTGCTACATGAGCCCTTGTGGGCCAGGTATGCCAATAATCCTCGCCAAGGAGGTTTCGACCGCGTCAGTGTTTCGGTTCTTTCTGCCTCTCGTCGTTCCACATGAGTGCCATCACTGCCGTGTCGGGTGCCTCCTCGTTGCTCAGTGTCACTAGCATCAGCGATGAAAGGGACAAACACAGAGCGCAGAGGGCAACCGGGAGGGCCTTCGCGCTTCCGTTCAGCTGGTTCTCGAGGTCCTTAACCGCGTTGGCAGAAGTCGCACCCAGTCGACCCCACATGTAGGCGCCGGCGAAGCCCACACTGCGCATCTGGCACATTTGAGCAGGAAATGTTCAAAACGGCGAATATGGAGCTGTTTTTTATACCCCAAAAGAAGTCTTGTAACTGAGGCAATATTACTGTCCACAGTAGAGTGAAGTAGTTCACTATAGTGCACAAGAACGTGTTCTCTATCGAAAAGCGTTGTGAAGTTCATAATGTATCGTTTTACTGTCTACAATTCGTGGTATACAATACATTTCTAGTTTTACTATGTCAAGTATATTGGGTATTGCTGTAGCTAATGCACCTTTTGCTAAGTGGAGGATGTTATGACCCATATTAACTTCCCCCTAAGCAATGCACAACGGCAATGTAGGTAAATAAATAAATAATTAAAAAAGCACATTATTGATGCATTTTGGCCATTACGTAAAAAAAATCTTTTTTTCAATTTTTTCTAACTAGTCAAAAAAAATAATGTGTTTAGAAAACGTGCAGCATACGATATCAAAATTCCTCAGAGCTTTATAGGGCGCACAAGTAAACGATGCAATGCCTGACACTGAAAAAACAACAAAATTAAGACACTGAAGTCTTACAATAAATAAAATCTATGAAATGGTCTTGCGAATGTTAAAAAAAACTATTGGTTCATGTCGCAATCCTGAAGTTTTAACTTTGGTGGGCTCAAGGGTACATTCAGCCAGTCAACTTGAAAAATAATTAACATGTTTAGAAAACGCACATTATATGAGATCGAAACTCTCTCAGAGCTTCATGAAGCGGACAGGTAAACATTGCTATGCCTGACATTGAAAAAGGCATGGAAACTAAGGCACTGAAATTCTAAAGAATATTATGAAATTAAAAAGAAGGTCTTGTGAGAGTTAAAAACAACCCATTGAATAATATCATTATCTCGAAGTTAAAGTTTTTTTCATTCTATTCCATTCTTGAAGTTTTATTGTAGTGGATTCAGTGGTACATTCAACCAGTCGATACAAAGATATAATTAGCGTGTTTAGAAAACGTACAGCACCAGAGATCCAAAGCAATTCAGCGCTTCATAATAAGGTGGACCGGAAAACAATGCAATTCCTGACACTGAAAAAATAATAAAAATCAAGACACTGAACGTTTACACAATAAGATAAAATTTAAAAATGTAAGACAAAGTTAATTCGTCTTGTTATCAGGAAGTTTTAATTTTGGTGGGCTCAGTGGCAAATTAAAATAACGTGAGCGTTTGAGGGTTTGTAAAGGAAAGGGACCTCTGAGGTTTATAGTAGACAACACTTCAAGGTAGTTATGAGGGAGTATAAAAACATGCACATATCTTTTTTAGATGCGAAGCATCTCATGGTCCAGCTCAATCCGGTGTGCAGCATGAGCGCCGTTACCGCTCGTGTGTGCGCCTACCCTCTCTCTTGTATTCTCCTCTGCTCTCTCGCCCCGCAACGCCGACGGAAGAGGCATCTGCCAGCCAACGCTCGCTCCGCTTATCTCTCATCTAGCCATCTCTCCCAGCAGCACTTACAACTTCCTTGCACATGCGCGTTCCTCTCTCCTCTCCTGCACTCTTCCTCGTAGGCAACGTAGCCTACGCACCTACGCTTGCTTCCCCCCTCTCTCAGGTTTTGCGCCATGCTCCTTACCGGGCTGCCGAAATTAGCTGCAGTCTTCCATACAACCCTCTCTCTCCACTGAGCTTCGCTCCTCGCCGCGCTCACACCCCCATGGCACGTGCGCGTCCCCTATCTCTCTCTTTTCCCACGCTCTTCCCTCTGTTTTCTCGAAATGTCCATGCAGGCAGCGTCTGCTAGCCAGTTTCTTGAACAAAAAAAGTGGCAGCATATCCACGGGGTGAAATGGATAGTGGGACGAAGCATCCGTCCGTTCATTCGTTCTTGCTTCCGTCAATCCATGTGTGCGTCTGTGTGGCCGCCCATGCGTCCATCCACCCGTCCGTGCGTGCGTCTGTTCGTGTGTCCACACGTTCATCTGTGCGTCCGTTCCTGCTTTCGTCCATGCATCCGCTGCTGCGCCCGTTCATGCGTTCATCCGTCCGTGCAGCCATCCGTGCGTCTATTCATGCATCTGTCTGTGTGTCCATTCGTCCACGTAATCGACATTCCAAGTACCACCACCTCGCATCTTTTCATCATACATTCCTCATATAGAAGCACCGCCATCCAGCGGACATTCCAAGGACTGAACGAGAGGAGGCACACGCACACTTTCTTACGGCTTTCGCTTCGTGTATAACCTTTAACCACCTCGAGTTCAAGGTATATAATAGTTCACTGTAATCATGGCACTGCGGCCCAACGCTCGCTAAACTTTTCTAAAACCTAGGAGGTTACGTCCAGCGAGTATAACGTAGCAACGCTTTCTTGTCTTCTGTCCGTTATTGAACAATAAAAATTCGCAGCGTGCGCGTTAACTAAAAGCCGAATTCTCCTGACTCTCATTCCCCCTTAGCAGCCATTGGCATGTAGATTGAGCATTATCTTTTATTGTTCAACAACGCACAGAAGAAATCTCTCACCGGCACCACCCAGGAGGTCGAAATGTTATACTTGTTACACACTACAACGGCTACGAAGAACGAACGGGTGTCGCTATAAGGAGTTTCGCCCCTAAAAAAACCCAACTGCTCACGCTGCACCGCCATTCACGGCTACCCCGCATATATAAGTCCTGGATCTTGGCCTACAAGGTAATGCCAGTGGGAGATTTCTCCTGTGCGTTGAGCAATAAAAGACACTTTTAGCTGGGCTCACGTAACGAGCAGACGTACGCCGCACTGCCACGGGAGAGAAATGCGCATGTGCAGTGCGTAACGTATTGATACCGAAGGTGCGCGCGTACGCCCGAAACAAGACGCTGCGTATGGAACGCAACGCTTACTACGTTATGTTCTCGCGAGACCTCTAAGAAACCAGAACTAGACTATATGATGACAGCAGTGACGTTCGACGCAGATAGCAACAGCGGACCTGATGCAAGGCCTGTGTAGTTCACAATAAAGGCGATGTTTTCATGCAGACAAGGCATTCCAGCAGCGCGTTCCGGCATCCTGCTGATTCGTATGAAATTGCCTGGCGTCTCACGAAAATCCTCCAGAATCGCCTTCGATAGGTTGTTAGCAGGAACGCGTCTGTTTCTCCTAAGCCTCTCGGAGAGTGAACCACTAAATAAAACAGCACCTTGGTACATACTTTTATTCATGATACAACGTAACACGCCTTTGACGTTGTGCGAGCTTTCACTCCTTAAACGTGCTGGTAGTAATCGTTAGGCTATGACTACCTGGAACGCGACCACTTGCTCCAGAGTACGTCAAGCCTTATCCACAGCAGCGCTGGATAGAACGCTGGGGGCGATCCAGTGTGGCCGTGCCCAATTAGACGCATTGCGCAGCCAAGTTCAAAGCAAAGGTGAACGGGCACATTCAGTGCACCTAGGAACGATGCTAAAAATATACACAGTGAACGCCATGGCCTGACTTGTACACCGGCTGCTCTTACCCTGGCCGTGAAGATGTTTTTCGTGCAGATCACAGAGGGCGCGTTATTACTGGGATCTAGCATACTTCTAACGTCAGTGGCACTGATGAGCATGCGAAAACGCCTGCATCTTGAATACCATTTAACTAGTTGAGTGAAACGCATCATGGTACGTTAAACTAAAAGTGTCGTTGCACTCTTCACTGGCAGCGTACGCAACGTCATTTTCAGAGCGCACGCATCTTTCCTGTACGCCCAGCTAAAGATGTCTAAAAACTCGCAGCTTGCACGTTCGCTTAAAGTAGACTGCGTGTCGCCGTGTTTCATTCGAGTCTTCTGTCTCTCAGTGCCCATTAGCAGCATTTGGCATGTTATAGCAGGAAACGCTGGTTCATAATGATGGAGCGGCGTATTTGTGCCTCCCAACTATTCTCTTCTGTGCAGCGTCGCGGTGAGCGCCAGCGTCAACGACGCCGCCAGTGTAAGCGTTCGTGCCCACTGCTTCGCATCTGCACATGGTTCCAATTAGTGGGAGATGGCGTAATTTTGTATAGGATTATTTCTTACGTTTAGTACGTTGTTATTGATTAAATTGTGATACAAAACTACACAGGGAATAGGCAAGCACATGCGTCAAGTGAGTGTATTTTATACACAAAAGCTGCAGAATAATTTTTCGTAGTAAGGTTTTTATCATAGCTACACAAATTTAAGTTTCAGTCATTGACCAATTTTGTAGTAAAAATACATTGGTTTTAGGACGAGGCAGCATTGTCAATAGATTTCAAATCTTTTACCAGGTCGGCAAATAAGAGCAGCGAACAGACTGTTTGTTTCATTTGCTGCCAGTCATAGACCACTAAGCACAGATATTATCATTGTACCATAATGCAAGAAAGTTGATCAATCGTAGTCATCATATTTGCGCAGAAGCAATACTAACAAGTCAGGTACCTACAAAGACCAAGTCCAAGAAAAAAACATAGGGGACTGTAGCTAAGGTAAATCTCTAGTCTTAATAATGCGACATAAGCCATTCAGGTAGGAAAAAAAACTTCAGCTGCACAAGAATCTCATTTTTGGCACATTCCTCTCTGTTTAGTGAAAAACGTTTGAGTAATTGGGTGGCTCACAGGAAGCCAAAAGTAGGCATCCACTTTTATGTCACAGAAATTTAATGTCGGAAAGAGTTTAGGGTAATTTTTATTCCTGTTTTGTCCAGGCGCAGCCAAGTTATGCTCTGAACAACGATTATGTCACATAGAGAACGTCAGAGCAGCTTTCAAAGCGTGAACAGAAAATTAAATATCTCGCACCTCTGTCGGGAACATCTCGACTGTTTCCACGGAGAACACGACGTAGGTGATGTTCAGTAGGAGCTTCACCCACATTATGAGCACAGTGAGTGGCAACGGCAGCTCAAAGGCCACGAGTGCCGCGTGAAAGGCGAGAGCCATAGCCACCGTGGACATGAGGCGAACGATGGTGGACAGATGGTCGTAGTGCTTGACCAGGAAGTAGGCGACCGCCATAGCTGGCGCGTTTCCGATCACCACGACCCACTTGGCGAGCTCGTAGTCGTGGTTCACCGTCTTGCTGTCGGTCGCCAGTCCGCCGTAGTACACGACGAACAACGTGAACCTGGGTCACGCGTACTTTTTGTTAAATTTGAAAGGAAAAGCAGTAAGGGTATGATGAATTAGTGCTGACTCGTTTCTGTCAACTTTTGCTTGTTGCATGGGGGCATATTTTGCGACTCGAGGTCCACCTTAGAGACACTACCATTTACTTTACGGCATGGATTACACGAACAATCAGTGTATCATATAGGGCAGGGCTACCACCAAGCGCTCGAGGAAAGACACAATACTTTATTCAATGGCTGCCGAGTCATTGCGGAATTCTCAGCAATGACCACACTGATGAAGCTGCTCATTTGGCTCATAACCAAGACCTGCGCATGCCTATACTAATCTTCCGCTATTTTAACTATCCTATCCATATTGGTAATTATTTTGCCTTCTTTGTCCCTTAGTGCATACATCCGACTTTTGCCTATCCCAAGTTTCCTCTTCACTGCTTTGACGCTTCCTCCGTTTTTCAGAGCGTGTTCAATTCTCTCCATGTTATACCTTCTTACATCGCATACCTTACGTCTATTAATCAACTTCGAAAGCTCTGCCAGTTCTATTTTGTCTGTTGTACTTGACACTTTCATGATTTGACGCTTCTTAAGTAGGTTTTTCGTTCCCTGCGAAAGCTTGCCAGGGTCCTGTCTAGCTACCCTGCCTCCAACTTCCACTGCACACTACGTAATAATACTCGTCAGATTATCATTCATTGTATCTACGCTAAGGTTGGTTTCCTCACTAAAAGCCGAGTACCTGTTCTGCAGCGACACTCTGAATTCCTGTACTTTCCCTCTCAGTGCTAGCTCATTGATTGGCTTCTTGCATATCAGTTTCTGTCGTTCTTTCTTCAAGTCTAGGCGAATTCGAGACCGTACCATTCTATGATCACTGCATCGTACTTTGCCAACCACGTCCACATCCAGCACGATTCCTGGGTGTACACTCATTATAAAGTCTATTTTGATCTTACTTTCGCCATTAGGGCTCCTCCATGTCCGCTTGCGGTTTTCTCGTTTTTGGTAGAAGGTATTCAAAATCCGTAAATTATTGCGTTCCGCGAATTCTACTAGTAGCTCTCCTCTGGCCAGGATAGTTAGAATAGCGGAAGAGTTTTACAGAGATCTGTACAGTAGCGGAGACAACCACGACCTTAATACTATAAGAACTAGCAGTAACCCAGATGACACCCCACCAGTAATGATAGAAGAAGTCAGAAAAACTTTGAAGAGCATGCAAAGAGGCAAAGCTGCTGGTGAGGATCAGGTAACATCAGATCTGCTGAAAGTTGGAGGACAGATTGTGTAAGAAAAACTAGCCGCCCTGTTTACGAGGTGTCTCCTGACGGGAAGAGTACCAGAGTCTTGGAAGAACGTTAACATCATCTTAATACATAAGAAAGGAGATGACAAGGACTTGAAGAATTACAGGTCGATCAGCTTGCTCTCTGTAGTATACAAGCTATTTACAAAGATAATCGCTAACAGAGTAAAGAAAACATTAGAATTCAATCAACAAAAGGAACAAGCAGGATTTCGAACAGGCTACTCAACAATTGACCACATTCATACTATCAACCGGGTAATAGAGAGATCATCAGAGTATAACCAACCACTATACATAGCCTTCATAGATTACGAGAAGGCGTTTGATTCAGTAGAAATATCAGCCGTCATGCAGACACTGCGGAATCAGGGCGTAGATGAAGTATATATAAACATTATGGAAGAAATCTACAGGGGATCAACTGCTACCATAGTGCTTCATAAAGAAAGCAACATGATACCATTCAAGAAGGGTGTAAGGCAGGGGGACACTATCTCCCCAATGCTATTTACCGCGTGCATACAGGAGGTTTTCAGAAGCCTAGAATGGGAGCAGTTAGGGATAAGAGTTAATGGAGAATACCTTAGTAACCTGCGCTTCGCCGATGACATTGCATTGCTGAGTAACTCAGGGGACGAATTGCAACTCTTGATTACGGAGTTGAACAGAGAGAGTAGAAAGGTGGGTCTTAAAATTAATCTGCAGAAAACGAAAGTAATGTACAACAACCTCGGAAAGTAGCAGCGCTTTGAGATAGGTAATAGTGCACTTGAAGTTGTAAAAGACTATGTCTACTTAGGGCAGGTAATAACCACAGAGCCGATCCACGAGATCGAAGTAACTAGAAGAATAAGAATGGGGTGGAGCACATTCGGCAAGCACTCTCAAATTATGACAGGTAGATTGCCACTATCCCTCAAGAGGAAGGTATATAACAGCTGTATCTTGCCAGTACTTAGCTACGAAGCAGAAACCTGGAGAATTACAAAGAGTGTTCAGCTTAAATTGAGGATGACGCAGCGAGCAATGGAAAGAAAAATGGTAGGTGTAACCTTAAGAGACAAGAGGAGAGCAGAGTGGATTAGGGGACAAACGGGGGTTAAGGATATCATAGTTGAAATAAAGAAGAGGAAATGGACGTGGGCCGGGCATGTAGCGCGTAGACAGGATAACTGCTGGTCATTAAGGGTAACGAACTGGATTCCCAGAGAGAGAAGCGGATTAGGGGGAGACAGAAGGTTAAATGGGCAAATGAGATTAAGAAGTTTGCGGCTATAAATTGGCAGCAGCAAGCACAGGACCGGGTTAACTGGCGGAACATAAGAGACGCCTTTATCCTGCAGTGGACGTAGTCAGGCTGATGATGATGATGATGATGATACTAATCTTGAAGATGGATGCTGCGCGGTAATTAAAGTCACTTCCTCACCGTATCAAGTCTCTAAAATGAAGTAGGGAGGGTTTCTCGAACGCGCGCCTGAATTCGTCCTAAATCCTCAACTTCGTTTGTCGCCCGGGCTCTCACGACGTGATAAAATGCTATGTCGCATGTGGTTGGGCATGACATTTACAAATGCGTATTCATGTCCCATTGAAATGGTCAGCAATGCGGCCGTGCAACATTTACAACTGCGAGGAGACACTCGAGCACATTTTATGCGACTGTTCAAGTGACCAACCTTAAAGACGTTCTATGGCTGAAATGCTTGGTCACCTGGATACAGGACAACTTACAGAAAAGAAGATACCGAGACCTTGGTAGATGGTTTCGCATACGTGTAAAGTGACCGAAGCATCTCGTGTGCTGCTTAAAGGGGCCCTGAAACGCTTTTTCAAGTAAACACGGAATAAATTCACTGAAAAAGCTTATTGCCTCACGAATTCAGCAAAAAATTTAAAAAATCCATCCAGTGTGAGTGGAGCGACAAAGGTTTGTCGCATGCATGGTGCTATTGCATTCTCTCTTCTCTCGTCCCGACGAAAGCACTGGAAGCTAAGCAGGGAGGGATGGTAGGGCCACAGAAAACGTCACATGCGCCTCGTGTCGTTGAGCACAATTTCTTTTATTTTTCGAATGCGGCGCTTTTTCAGTGTGATCAAAGTGGACGATTGGGCCAGTCAGTGTGATCGCGCGAGCACGCGTTGACAAGTAGCGACCTCCCGCGGTGGTCTATGTAACAAGCGAGCGAGCCATGTTCAAATCAGCCAATGGCTGGTAGATGGGTAATTTACTTCACGTCTGACTTTTGGGCATATTCCGTGATTTGTCGAGAGAAAAAGCTATTTTTAGCTGACTTTCATAATTTATTTTGGCCGCGTGTTGTGCTATAATATTTGGCTCGCGTGTTGTCGAGAGCCCCTACTACCGGTCGGCAGCGTTTTCTGACCATGCTCAAAAGGTGTTGTAGGGCCCCAGCGGACGTCACGAGCGCTTGTGAAAGAGCAGCGTGAGAACATGTTGGTGTAATCACGAGCTGAATATTTATTCATATCTGTATTACTCATGATCATTTTTCTCTACCTCACTGGCTTTTATTATTCCCCCTTTTTCCCGTCCAAACCGAGCCAAGCTTGGTTGACCTCCCAGCCTTTGCTCTCCATTTGTCTCTGCCTCTGCTTGAAACAACGACGACGGTATCGCATAGATTCCAAGCAACCAAAGCTCTCTTTTGCTTCTTAAGGACCACCTTACATCACGACCGCTTGTGAAAGGCACATGTGAAATGCAAGCATCATGAAACGCCGCACTGGCGACATGCGAAAAAAATGGCACTGATCCCTCCGTCATAGGAATTCTTGTAATACGAAAGTGCACCATGTCTTCTCATAAGTAGTTAATTTTTTCTGCGTACTTTGATAATGGAGAGCTTGGACAATGTCCATTTTTCGGCTGTTATAGCAACATATGACACAAAAGCCGCCACTCTAATGCCTAATGGCACATATGTATCTCGAAGATGAACGTCCATCGTCTTAATTCTATCTTTGTGGTAATTTATGAGAACATCATCATCATCATCATCATCATCAGCCTGACTACGTCCACTGCAGGACAAAGGCCTCTCCCATGTTCCGCCAGTTAACCCGGTCCTGTGCTTGCTGCTGCCAATTTATACCCGCAAACTTCTTAATCTCATCTGCCCACCTAACCTTCTGTCTCCCCCTAACCCGCTTCCCTTCTCTGGGAATCCAGTCAGTTACCCTTAATGACCAGCGGTTATGCTGTCTACGCGCTACATGCCCTGCCCATATCCATTTCTTCTTCTTGATTTCAGCTATGATATCCTTAACCTCCATTTGTTCCCTAATACACTCGGCTCTCTTCTTGTGTTTTAAAGTTACACCTACCATTTTTTTTCCATTGCTCACTGCGTCGTCCTCAATGTAAGCTGAAGTCTCTTTGTAAGTCTCCAGGTTTCTACTCCGTAGCTAAGTACCGGTAAGATACAGCTGTTAGATACCTTCCTCGTGAGGGATAGTGGCAATTTACCTGTCATAACTTGAGAGTGCTTGCCAAATGTGCTCCACCCCATTCTCATTCTTCTAGTTACTTCAGTCTCATATTTCGGCTCCGCGGTTATTACCTGCTCTAAGTAGACATAGTATTTCACAACTCGAAGTGAACTATTACCTATCTCGAAGCGCTGCTCTTTTCTGAGGTTGTTGTACATTACTTTTGTTTTCTGCAGATTAAATTTAAGACCCACCTTTCTGCTCTCCTTGTCTAACTCCGTAATCATGAGTTGCAATTCGTCCCCTGAGTTACTCAGCAATGCAATGTCATCGGCGAAACGCAGGTTACTGATGTACTCTCCATTAACTCTTATCCCTAACTGTTCCCATTCTAGGCTTCTAAAAACCTCCTGTAAGCACGCGGTAAATAGCATTGGAGAAATTGTGTCCCCCTGCCTTACACCCTTCTTGATTGGTATTCTGTTGCTTTCTTTATGAAGCACTATGGTAGCAGTTGATCCCCTGTAGATTTCTTCCAGAATGTTTATATATACTTCATCTACGCCCTGATTCCGCAGTGTTCGCATGACGGCTAATATTTCTACTGAATCAAACGCCTTCTCGTAATCTATGAAGGCTACGTATAGTGGTTGGTTATACTCTGAGCACATACACTTAGACAAAGCTTGTCGTGGGTACCGTTCAATGACTACATCAACGCATGCACAATAGGCACTCCACCTCGTTATGAACAAATTCAAACTGTCGGTATTTGAGGCCATAAACAGAAAGGCATGCGCTGTAATCTAATAGGTTACCTGCGCTTGTACTCATATACATACCACACAGCGCGTCAGAAAAGCGAGGATTAAGTGGCAGCTTGAGCCGTGAATGCTGCAAGGTGTTACAGATCTGTCACTGCAGCAAAGTGTTCGAGGAGCGGCATTCACCTGTCTACGACGTGATTGCATTACGACCTTTTTTAGAACAGTTTCGTTAGTCCACTCAATAACTTTATTCCTTTCAGACCCCAACTCTGAGAACTGAACGTAAGTGTGTCGATTTGCTACTGTGTTGCATGAAGGCACTCAATCTTCTATCGCTAGAAGAATAGTAACATAATTCTTAAGTTTACCTGTGTTCTAGGGTCTCATCCCAATTAAGTTGAAATTAAACATGCCTTTACATGAAGTGAATAAATGTTTGCGCTTGACACAGACAGAATAAAATCTCAGGCTAAGAATATAGTGCATTTTGCATATTCAGTTTAGTTATGTCCATTTGGAGCACAGAAAAATTCTGCAGTTCACACTGCTCGTAGGAAGCAAAACGTCGCTCGACTCGTCGGACGGTGTAGTGCCTTCAGAAAAGTGGACATATGTGTCAGTACACTGCAAACTGTAGTTAATAGAAGGCATATTTATTATGCAGATTGCTAAATTCATCTACAGTACAACATATCTTGCTCATTCATAGCTTCTACTTGATGCCAATAGCAAAAACGAGTGGGCTACACAAAATGGTTTACAAAGCGGCTCAAAAAATTTGAAGAAGTAGCCTACTGAGAATTACCGTTGGTGCATGTACGAGCTGCGCTATTTTCGTGATTAAGATGTCACATTAACAAGTCGTCACATTAACGAGGTGGCACATTCACAAGAGGCGAAATGCAAAGCACTTCGTGCGTGGTCACCGAACCGAACCACAAAGTACGCTCCAACCATACAACTTCTTATGATATTGTATGGAAAGCCTGCCCTGCCTTAAATCTGTCGAAGCGAAACTGCTGCTTTTCAGCGTAATGATGCACAAGTTAAAATCCTTGCTGCCGAACGGCGAAACCACACCGACCAGCCAAGAATACTTTGAGAGGAATGAGATATGCGAGCGGGGAGATAGAGAGAAGCACGAAAAAAATTGGCTTCGTATCTGTATTTAATCTGCACATGTTGTCGAAAGACGATAGTCTTGCGTGTGGAGAGAGTGAAGAAAAGATTTATTTGATGTTCTGTTTAAGAAAATTGATGAATGGTATTCTAGAGGCGCTGCGTTAGAGTGCCTCGAGCGTGCAGCGGAGGCGAACGAGCGCATCAAGTCACGTCACACGTGAGACATGAGTGCCTTCTGGCAGTTTTTTTTTCGAAAACAAAGTGCGTGGCTCTGAGAAGGATGTGCGCGCCCACCTCAGAGGTGATATAGTGTAGAACTCAAGGCGACGGGTAGGTGCCAACACCGTCTCGTTTTAGCAAAGCGTTGGAAACACTCGCCGTTCCGTGCAAGCGTTGGATGGTCGGCGCAGGGTGATAAGCAATACGGTCCTTAAAGTTACTCATGTATGCCTTTTCTAGTAAAAAGCGCACATGCAGAATATATACGTGTTGATATGGTGCCTCAGACACGCACAATAATTGCTTTTTATACGACAATTGCACAAGTATGAATGCTTCTTGAGCAACATAGGTGGGCGCCACGGATGGGGTCGGCCGCGTCAAATACCCGATGCTGTTAAGAGTAGACAAACAGACAAATGTAAAAACAGATAGATAGCCAGACCAAAATTTTCGCGTCGAAGGTCCCCAAGAAAGCCTATCGTCTTTAAAAAGCCGCCAGGTCTGCGCGCAACGCGCAGTACAGTTGCAGCGAAAGCTGGAAGAGCGGCCTTTCCGAACCTTTTTAAAACAATTTTTGGGTAGCTGCTACAATAGCACTTTCATGGTACGCACGATGTCATAGTTCATCGTAAATTTAGTTTTGTAGAAACGTATTTACAATGCAATCCTTCGTAATTCTTCAGAAAAGTGCGGTACCTCTTGCACACTTGCAAGGAACTTGTGCAATTTTATATGCCTAGTGGCTGTTTGCAATGAAGTTTTACCATCAGCATCTCTCAGTGGTAGAACACTGGACTGACATGCAGGGAACACTGCAATGACATTCATCGAATCCTTTCGTGAGCTTGGCGTTTTTATTCTGTAGGTCCAATTTTTAATTTCGCGCGATAGTGGTTACGGGCACCGGCGGTGACGTCAGCAGTGGCAGCAGCGGTGGCGGACAACTAATGTGCACGTGACCCTTGTGATCTCATAACAGCTTTCGATGTAAAAAAAAACGCGTTTATGATTATGAAGCCTCGTGAATGTGCATCGGTAGCAGAGCCGGCTGATCATCCGCCACCCATCATCGCAGACCTAAAGCACATGGTTACGACTCTGACGTCATCGAAATCAGCGAAACTTTTCTTTCCGTTTTTTTTTCTCATCGTTTGAAATTTACCCACGTCACTTCTGAGACCTCATTGACGCCAGGGAACGTTTCTTTGATTCGAGATTCAGATACTTTTGTGTTTACACGTACGTATGGTCGCAAAGCGAATAAACGTATGTGACAGAAACAAATTGAAGTGATATACGAATGCACTAAGCAGCGAACTCTTTTTGTTCTTGTCGCTCGTTACACCACAAAACGCTGATGTGCATAATGTGGCTGCACTAAAGAATAAATCAATTTTCCATCTTTACATAGTCTGAACGTAAAATGTTTACACGTCGATAACCCGTTATCGAGCGAGCTCACCAGGCTACGCTGAGGACGAAGCTTCGGTACGCCATTCCACCGCACACAACTGTAGCGGCCAGCGATCGCTTGGCAGCCTCCAGCAGCGGTGCGGCTCGGCCTCCGGGCTGGTTGATCGTGGCCGCGTGCCGAATGGCGTCGATGCGCCTGCGCACTCGGTCCGTGTCCTCGTCGTTGAACCTGGCCGCGTACACGGCGACGCGCTCGGCGTCTTCGAAGCGCAGGCTCACGAGGAGCCAGTGTGGCGACTCTTCGACCAGGCCCGTGGTGACCAGCAGGAGCGACGATGGTAGCAGGACCATCAGGTTGAACATGACCCAGTTCTGAAGTATGAAAATATAATTACTTTAGGTCGCAATACAATTAACCATCGCCAATCAATTATCGATTTAACGTGCCTTGGAACAGCCATAAGATCTTAGTGGAGGCCCACAAAAAAAAAGCATTACAAATAAACAATACAATAAGAATACTCTTCAGAAATGGAATGAAATGAAAAAACTTAACTTATTTACTCTTCAGAAAAATAAAAAAATTGAAAAAAACCATAAAAAATCAGCTCAATATGAGAACAATAGAAAGGCAAGGCGAGAGTCATAAAAAAGTAGTGCCAAAAAAAGGGGAATATACATAACTATGCTGAAACTTTCGTGAAAGATGAAATGGGGAAGAATTGGTACATCGTGAAAAACAATGTTAAAACAGTGCAGTGTTAAGATGGAAACTATGACAGTGGACTGTGAAAAGCACCAAGATCATGAAAGCTGTCATTATGGAGACCTTGCGTACTGTGAACAATAGTGTGTTGAAAGAACTTGGCAGGCACATGAAACGGCCGATTTTCTCTGGTCAACATACGCGGAATCTTAAAATTTACACAACTAAGAAGTAAAGGACAGGATATCATACAGTGAACAAGTTTGACAAAAATAACAGGTCAGTGTGATTTTGTCGGCAGTGAAGTGACGGCAATGGTAGTAATCTGCAGTGTTGGAACGAGATACAGAGTCATTTACAGAAAAACCATGATTTTAAATGCTAATTAACAGTTTCTGGACTCAATCAATGATGTCACTGCCAAATTGAAAAATGTCACTCCAGATCACAGGTACATATTCAAGAAAAACAACGATTTGGTCTAGTTGGAACATATTCTTCATGAATTTTTTGCCGAAGCTCACAGGGACACAGATAAGAATTCAAACGGGCCCCATATAACAACTGCTTTATATAAAAAAATCACTTTATAGCCCTCATATCTGCGCTCTGCGGTCACCGAAACACAAATGCACTGCGCACATAACAGAAATAACAATAACAAGTTCGTTGAATAAGAAACATGAGTGAAATTTCTTTCGCCATAGGCTACCGAAGTGTGGCTAACACACACATCTTCCTGGTTGTCTATGAGACAAGCCGAGAAAGACGTATTGCGGTGTACAATTTGTAGAAGCCTTGGAGAACCGAGTTCTAGAGAGATTCTGGATAATGTAATATCATCATCAAGATTAGTAATTGCAATCATAAAAGTATTTTATAAAAGTAATAATGGTTGTTTTAGTCAGAAAGATGAGCGAAGCTGGGAGAAAAAGCTGAGAGCCAGGTTGACTAGCTCCGACTCCTGAAAAGTACAAGTTAGATAGTCTACAGCAAACTGTCGTGCACATGAACAGCCGTCTAAAAGTGTGAGCGCACAGAAAGGTAATGAAAATAACATGTTAGTGAAACAGCATTATCAGCAACAATGCATTGTACTGTCAATAGAACCATAAATTATTAGGAAGGCACTTGAACGAATTACAATACAAAAAAATATAAATGTCATAGTTATTGTACTGTTAATTGGCGAACTTGTACAATTGAAAACAAGGCAATGCACGGTAGCTTTACATAGAAACAACGAAAATATGTAGTCGCTTTAGTTAGGATAAAAACCTTAGTTATAGAAGATAGTTGATAGAAGCTATAATAGTTGATAGAAGTTGATAGAAGATAGTCGATAGAAGAAATAACAAAGAAAAAGTTTGATATGGAGTAGGATACCGCGTCATGAGGTCTCGGAACAGGAAGCTTTTGCTGCTTCGCTTTATGCTGTTTCGTCACTTATCTTATAGTTGGCGTGTTAGCAATTACTGGGCTGCACCAGTTAATGCAGCTAGAACCCCCAAGCGCCCACGCTGGCCGGCTTGCTCCAGCCTGCATGGCTCCGGCCGAACTTGTCGGATTATGTATACTAGTCTTACACAGGCCGCCTAAATTATGGTTAACGTTATGATAGTTAAGTTAACCGCTGTTCACTCAGTTTACGCGGAACGGGAAATCACGCTTATGCCGGATTCAATGATTGTAGGAAACCGGGCTTGGCAACATCGGTTCGGCAGTTGACCGAACAAATGACGGTACCCTTGAGCGGTGAGTGCATATCGGCGAGCGTGCGTAAAAAACAGATTAACTGGACTTCAGGAACCACGTAAAGCTTTATAAGGCTATGGGAAAATTATTTGAACAACATTATGGGAGAAATAACGGATATATTTGCGTAGAGACTGGCGATCTGCTGATTAGTGCGTCACTTTATTGTACGCCAGGTGGTGTCGGCCCGTTTAACTGAGGATGACAGATTTGCAAGATTGTTTCAGCGCGCGAATGGAAAAAGGACAGCGTAGACAGAAAGAGCGCTGACTTTCAACTAACTTTATTTCACAGAGTGGCTAGAATATATACTGTCACGCAGTTTATTCACGTACAGACCTACTGGAAGGCCGAGGAACGCCAGAAGAGCGAGGAACGCCAACAGGCCGAAAATACAAAACAAACGCAAGCTCGGGTCGCGCGTGCACCAACGCTGTGGCTTGCCGTTTCATGCTGCTTCTTCGTCGTTCGCATAGTTCCCTACATTGGCCCCCGGTGAATAGCGTAGCCAACCTGGCGACTTAAGGCGTAGTCACTATAGCGGGGTCGTAATACGGCTTCAGGCGACTCACATGCACAATTTCTCGGCCACGACGGCGTAAGTCATGAGACTGTGTCAATGGCTCAATCTCATAATTGACGGGTGACGTACGGGCGAGAATGCGGTAGGGCCCGTGGTATCGTGCCAGTAATTTCGACGAAAGGCCAGGAGTGCTCGGTGGAACCCAGAGCCAAACGAGAGCACCAGTCGTGAAAGTAGAGAGATGTCGGCCGGTGTCAAGCCGTAGCTTCTGGTGGCCTTGGTCCTCGGTTGTCAGAGAACGGGCGAATCGTCTGCAATCTTCTGCGTACCTGGCAACATCAGAAATTGCAGTGTACTCAGAGGAGTCGGGCGTGTATGGGAGGATAGTGTCGAGCGTGCACGATGGTTCGCGTCCGTACAACAGAAAGAAAGGGGAGAATCCCGTTGTCGCGTGCGTAGCGGTGTTATACGCATACGTGACGAATGGAAGGACAGTGTCCCAATTAGTCTGGTCTGAAGCTGTGTACATCGTCAACATATCACCGAGAGTGCGATTAAATTGTTCTGTGAGGCCATTCGTCTGCGGGTGATATGCTGTCGTCAGGCGATGAACCATGTTGCACTGAGCGAGCAACGCTTGAATGGCGTCAGACAAGAAAACACGCCCCCGGTCACTCAAAAGTTCGCGGGGAGCACCATGGCGAAGAACAAAGTTGCGCAAGATGAAAAACGCAACTTCCCTCGCGGTTGCTGCGGGTAGTGCTGCTGTCTCCGCGTAACGCGTGAGGTGGTCCACGCCGACAATTATCCACCTAATTCCAGAAGACGACGTGGGAAGTGGTCCGTATAAGTCGATACCAACGCGGTCAAACGGACGCGCTGGACAAGGCAGAGGCTGAAGTGTACCGGCAGGGCGTTGAGGTGGGACTTTACGTCGCTGGCATGCAGTACAAGCACGTACGTACTTGCGGACAAATGTGTACATGCCGCGCCAGTAGTACCGCTGACGTAGACGGTTGTACGTTTTGAGAGCGCCAGCGTGAGCGCTTTGCGGGTCGTTGTGGAAAGCAGTACAGATTTCCGAGCGCATGTGGTTGGGTATCACTAACAGCCACTTCCTACCTTCAGGACGTGTAATTCCGCCGATAGAGTAGGTCGTCTCGAATAGCGAAATGTGTGGCTTGACGGCGGATAGTTCTTGACACTAAATTAGCTAACGGATCAGTCAAAAAGGCGAGGAGTTGGGAAATCCACACATCTTTGCGTTGTTCCGATGCCATGTCTGTGAAGTCGATTGGTGTTATGACAGCTGAAGAAGGTAACGAGGAGGCTGGGTCAGCCGGTAGCGGCGAGCGGGATAGCGCATCAGCGTCGGAGTGCTTGCGGCCGGATCGGTATACAACACGAATGTCGTATTCCTGTAGGCGAAGCGCCCAACGACCAAGGCGCCCCGACGGGTCTTTGAGCGATGATTGCCAGCATAGAGCGTGGTGGTCCGTAACGACTTCGAAAGGGCGGCCATAAAGGTATGGGCGGAACTTCGTCAAAGCCCAGACAATTGCGAGGCACTCTTTCTCCGTGACGGAATAATTACACTCGGCTTTCTTGAGGGTTCGACTCGCGTAAGCGACCACGTATTCTTGGTGCCCTGGTTTTCGTTGAGCCAATACAGCACCAAGACCGACACCACTGGCGTCGGTGTGGACCTCCGTAGGCGCATCAGGGTCAAAATGTCGTAGAATTGGAGGTGATAATAATAACCGCCGAAGCGCGGTGAAGGATTCGTCGCACTCTTTTGACCAAGCAGAAATGCCTTTGGAAGTTGTCAACAGGTTGGTAAGAGGCGCGATGATGGAAGAGAAGTTTCGCACAAATCGACGAAAGTATGAGCAAAGGCCGATAAAACTTCGAAGCGTCTTGATGGAATTGGGCTTCGGATAGTCGGCCACGGCGCGGAGTTTCGCCGGATCCGGGAGAACACCCTCTTTGCAGACGACGTGACCCAGTATGGTGAGCTGACGTGCGGCAAAATGGCACTTCTTGATGTTAAGTTGAAGGCCAGCAGAGGTGAGACACGTGAGAATAGCACGAAGACGAACAAGGTGAGTGGAAAAGTCGCGAGAAAAAACGACGATATTGTCTTGGTAGCAAAGGCACGTGTTCCACTTGTAGCCGCGAAGGATGGTGTCCATCATCCGTTCGAAGGTAGCTGGGGCGTTGCAGAGTCCAAACGGCATGACGTTAAACTCATACAGCCCATCAGGTGTTACAAATGTAGTCTTCGATCGGTCAGGATCAGCCATTGGAACTTGCCAATATCCTGAGCGTAAATCTAAGGAGGAAAAATATTCTGCCCCTTGCAAGCAATCTAGAGCGTCGTCGATGCGTGGCAACGGGTACACATCCTTCTGAGTTATCTTATTGAGCCGGCGGTAGTCGACACAGAATCGGATAGACCCGTCCTTTTCGCGCACAAGCACAACAGGGGACGACCAAGGGCTCTGCGATGGCTGGATGACACCACTCTTGAGCATATCGTCGACTTGTTCGTTGATAATACGGCGCTCTTCCGCTGATACTCGATATGGTCGTTGGCGTAAGGGAGCATTAGTACCGGTGTCAATGTGGTGCGTGATGTTCGCTGTGCGACCCAAAGATGGTTGAGCGCAATCGAAGACAGAACGGAACTCTCGAAGAAGGGACAAGAGTTCGCTTCTTTGTGTCGGCGATAGCTCCGCGGCAACAGAGGGCTGGAATGAGTCTGGCGCGGGCACTGTGGCCACAGGTGGCGTCATAGCATTGAGCTGGAGGTGAGGTGCGTGTTCGGCGAACTCTAGAGGGCGCAAGAGGTCAACGTCTTGTATGTTACCCAAACATTCTCCGCGAAGTAAGGTAACTGGCGACGATAGCGAGTTCGCGACGAGCATGGTGGTAGCACCGTATTCCACGGTGAGTACGGCAAAGGGCAGGTGTAGGCTACGGTGGCGGGTAAATACGTCAGACGGAGTGAACAAAACAGTTCCGGCTGGAGCGGCCGTACAGGTCAGGGCTACAAGGGCGGATGTTCTCGGTGCTATTTCCGTGTCTGCAACAACGACAAGTTTGTAAGGTTCAGGAAGAGAATCCACAAAACAAGAGGTTGGCAGCGGTGTAAGGGCAACTTCTGCACGTGAGCAATCTATGATGGCCCGATGACGCGAAAGAAAGTCCCATCCAAGAATGACTTCGTGGGAGCAGGATGCCAGCACAAAAAATTCAATGGCATAAATTCACCTTGGATAATGACACGTGCAGTGCACACAGCTGTAGGTTCTATGCACTGCGAGTTGGCCGTGTGGAGCATCAGGCCCGAAAGAGGCGTCGTCACCTCTTTCAACTTGCGGCATAAGGGCTCACAGATTATGGAAACGGCGGCCCCTGTGTCGATAAGCGCTTGTGCGGCGGTCCCTTCAACATTGACGTCAATAACGTTTTGCGGCGAGAAAGATGGAGGCCTTAAGCAGTTCGAATTGTATGCAGCTGTTGCCTCCGGAGCTGCAGCGATCAGTTTCCCTCTTCCGTAGCAGGTCGGCGACGCATAGGTGACAGGGAGCGTCGTCGTGGCGATGGTGACCGTTGGTTTGCGTAGGGTCGAGGACCGTCAGTGGTGTACCTTGATGGCGTCCTAGGCGACGACGCCATTGGCCGGCCCACGGCGTCGACTGGAGGGGGATCTCGGCGACAGTGGCGGGCGACGTGTCCAGCGATACCACAGGTGAAACAGATGGGCCTATTATCTGGCGTCCTCCAAGCGTCTGAGCGACGATAAAATGGAGCTGGAGATCTCGCGTAGGGATACGACGCCGCAATTGGGGTTGTAGGCACGACATAGGGTGGCGTGGCAGGTTGAGCATACGGCATACGCTGTTGCGTAGGCCGAGCAGCGACGGCGGCGTACGTGAGAGGCGTTGTGACTGGTGGTTGCTGATGCACCGGCGGAAGGGCTTCAGCGACTTGGGTCCGAATGACGTGTTGGAGGTCCGGTGCCAAAGCTTGCGTGGGCTCATGTGTCAGTGGCAGCAGTGACAGCTGGCGCGCTACCTCTTCGCGGACGAAGTCCTTGATTGTCGAAAGCAGCGGCTGCTGGTCGGTAGGATGGGCAGCCAGGTGCAAGCTTGCGAGCGTGTCTGGCGTCGTGATGGCTTGACGAGCAATTGCGCGCTGCCTACGCAATTCATCGAAGCTTTGACAGAGGGAAACGAGGACAGCAATGGTGGGGGGATTTCTCGCGAGCAACATCTGAAAGGCGCCGTCGTCAATGCCTTTCAATATGTGCTTGATTTTTTCTTCCTCAGGCATGGTAGAGTTGATGCGGTTGCATAGATGCAACACATCTTCAATGTAGCCCGTGTAGGTCTCGCCTGGTTGCTGTGCACGGTGACGTAAACGGTGCTCGGCTTGAAGCTTGCGTGCCGCAGGTCGTCCAAAGACGTCCGTAATAGCCTTCTTGAATGCAGACCACGTAGTAATGTCAGCTGCGTGGTTTTTAAACCACAGCTGCGCGGTGTCCGCAAGGTAGAATGTGACGTAGCCAAGCTTACTTGGGTCGTCCCATTTGTTACTTGCGCCGACCTTGTCGTACCTCGCCAACCAATCTTTGACGTCTGACTCAGTGGAGCCCGTGAAGATAGGAGGGTCTCGTTGAGGATACACGGCACCGCAAGTGACATGGACGGTCGAAGGTCCCACCTGGAGAGGCGTCTCGGTGGCCATGTTCGTGTCACGTAGAGGGGGAAGCTTACGGGAGCGAAGTTCCAGGTTTGTACGGGAGTCCACACACCTCCACCAGATGTCACGCAGTTTATTCACGTACAGACCTACTGGAAGGCCGAGGAACGCCAGAAGAGCGAGGAACGCCAACAGGCCGAAAATACAAAACAAACGCAAGCTCGGGTCGCGCGTGCACCAACGCTGTGGCTTGCCGTTTCATGCTGCTTCTTCGTCGTTCGCATAGTTCCCTACAATACGTCTAAAAAGAATGATTACAGAGCATGAAGGTAAAAAGCAAGCCTAATCTACACACCAGTAACAAAGCACGTGTGACGGGTCCTCTATTGCTTCAAAGCACAGCCAGGTAATCACGTTCAGCTTGTAATAAAGCAACCGAATAAGTGCTTACGCATTTATCTCCTAGCACGTGTATTTGTTCGTCTTCGATAATTTCTCGGGTAAGCTGGTCCCTGTTCCTTGCCAATATAGAGCACTGATCAAAGAGGGGGGTGCACCCACAATCTCGGCAATTAATGCCAAAGATGTCCTTGTACAACATTGTCCACATTTTTTCGGTGTTCCCAGAGGCGGTCATTTATGCACTTGCCGGTTTGGCCGACATAGATGCACTTAAACGTCAGTGGAATCAAGTAAACGACTCCCACTGCTCATGGGACGTAGCGTGTCCTGTGCGCGACAAAGAACGAGGCAGAATTTGCATGAAGTGTATTGACCCGGTTGCAAAGCTTCTGCATTTTTTCCGGTGCTGAAAAAACCACAAAAACATTCGTGTCTCGAGCAATATTTTTTATCCTGTGTGAGACGACGTGCACGTAAGGTAGTACGACAGCTCAGCTCACTCAAAATTGGTCAAGCGGGGCATTGCTAATCTCTGCCTTTCCAACGCCTTAAAGAAGTCCAGCCCCCCCATGTTACACCGCCGCTTTGCCCTACAAGTGGAGCGTCTCACCAAAGCTGTTTACCCCGCGCACGTTCTTGTTTCGGTGGCGGAAAATCTGGTCACTGTCGTGAAGCGAGGCGACGAACCGGATAAGCACAACAGTGTCAGAAAGAGCCGGCCTGTCGTACTACCTTACGTGCACGACGTCTCACACAGGCTAAAAAAAATTGCTCGAGACGCCAACGTTCTTGTGGTTTTTTCAGCACCCGAAAAATTGCAGTCACTTTGCAAACGGGTCAATACACCTCGCGCAAGTTCTGCCTCGTGCTCTGTCGCGCACAGGACACGCTACTTCCCATGCGCAGTGGGAGTCATTTACTTGATTCCACTGACGTGTCGGTGCATCTATGTCAGCCAAACCGGCAGGTGCATAAATGACCGCCTCCGTGAACAACGAAACAATGTGCACAATGTGGTACAATTGCATCTTGGCATTCATTGCCGAGATTGTGGGTGCACCCCTCAGTGCTTTATATTGCTTTATATTGGCAAGGCACAGGGACCAGCTTACCCGACAAATTATCGAAGCCGAAAAAATACACCTGCTAGGAGATAAATGCGTAAGCACTTCTTTAGTTGCTTTATCACAAGCTGAACGTGATTACCTGGCTGGGCTTTAAGGCAATAGAGAACCCGTCACACGTGCTTTGTTACTGGTGTGTCGATTAGGCTTGCTTTTTACCTTCATGCTCTGTAATCATCCTTTTTATACGTATATATTTTTGCCACTCTGTGAAATAAAGTTAGTTGGAAGTCAGCGCTCTTTCTGTTTACCCTGTCCTTTTTCCATTGTTCGCGCGCTGAAACAATCTTGCAAATAGGACTACGCACCAACTAGCCCAAGCATCCACTCTTGTAACCGAGGATGCTTTGGCGCTATGTAACATTGACGAACCGTGGTTGATGCTAACTGCTCTTTCACGCGATCGTGCACAAGAATAACTATGATTGGTCGTGACTGTGGCTAACTTGCCTGTGTAACGTGGGTATTAGACGATGCTGTATAGCGCCGACAGTTAAACATCGTCAGGCAAGATCTTGCTGCACAGCTCCAACGGAAGCACCACATCTATAAAAAGTGGGGTCTACACGTATCGTTAGCTCTTGATTGATATCTGCGGTTGGACGTCCCAAAACCACTATAATATTATGAGAGACGCTGTAGTGGAGGGCTCCGGAAGTTTGAATCACCTGGGGTTCTTTAACGTGCACCCAAATCTGAGCACATGGGCCTACGGCATTATCGCGTCCATCGAAAACGCAGCCCCTGCAGCCGGGATTCGATCCCGCGACCTTCGGATCAGCAGTCGAGTACCTTGGCCACTAGACCACCGCGGCGGGGCATATCGTTAGCGTTGGTGCGCAAGAAAAACGCATGTGGGGTTGGTGTAATGTTTGGCGTGTTGGAAAATTGCGTACACGGTATACGCATGCTGAGGGTTCAAATGTAATTCATACTAAACAGAACTGTAATCTCTACTAAACGAACTTTTTAAGCCTATCGCTTTGGAAAAAGTACCTTTATCAAGGCGGCGAGTGCGGCGACGTATATGGGCGCAAGTACTGTGGGCCAGCATATGGCTAGGGCACAGTAGGGCGCCCTGGGTCCAGGCTGCGTGCTTTCGAAGAGTAGAATAAACGAGATCACTTCTATGGCGCTGCAGGCAGCCGACGATAAGCAGCGCAGGAGAGCGTAGACCACGAAGGAGCTCGCCACGCAGGTAGCCAAACCCGACAATACCACTAAGCCTGAAGCCCAGAGGAGTACAGGGCGGCGGCCGAACTTGTCGGACGCTAGGCCTACGCACGGTATGGCCAGGACACTCGCTTCAAAGACCAAACAAGTAAGGATGGATTGCTGTGTTTGCCATTTCTTGCCATGTTGTTCCAAACCATCATGTTGCAATATAGCGCTTGCCTTGGTAAAGAGCTCCACTGACAGTACTTTTTCCTAGTGTCGAATTTCCAGTGCTTATTTCTTTACACAATGATGTATATCAAATTTGCTGTGTAATATTAAATTGTGTACAATGCCTTTGAAATATTCATGGCTTTACAGCGTGTTACATTAGGTGGCACAATATGTATTCATCTTTTATAACATGACCAGCAACTCATTCAAGCAATGAAGACGCAAAAACCACTAAGTCCAATTTTCTTCTAGTGCTAACTTCTCTATTTTTGGTGAAGGCCTCACTACGAGAACAGTTACTTGATTTTTACTGATACTAACTTTAGACGAAATATCTACAAGGCTAGTACGTACAGCACCACTCAATAAACTAGCACCATGCTCGTTTTGCCCAAACTCATTTTTAATTTAAAAAAATTAAGGAAGGAAAATCCAGCGTAGATTATTGATTGACTACCCGAATATATAAAGTAACCTGTTAATTTATTACGTTTCACCAATATAATAGATAAAAGTGTAATTATAGACTACTGTCAATACCAACAGTAAGTTATTTAGTTATTGACTGGTAATAAAAGAAAGGCTACCTCTGAGTACTAGAGGCATCAAATAAAACAGATGCAGCAGCACGTATTCACAAAGATATTGTGCGTGCAGTGAGGTCCATGTCGTGGCAGCATATGCGCATTTGTGCCGAAGTGTATCAGTAAACTTGTTCCTTGTACTGACCAAACGTAGAGCCTTACGCCACAGGGAATGCTTGCCGTTGTAAGCGTTTTATTATAACATTGATAGTACACACGCCTATTCACAGCCAATCAAACAGCCCTGATGCTTCTGCCTTGTTTATCACATATTTGAGCAAACAAGCTGTGGGGTCCACGTCGATTTCCTCCGATTACCAGACTACCGAGTCAGACTTGAGTTGGTATATAGATTAATAACGAAAAGTGTAATTGACTATTAATTACCTGGATAGATAAGGTGGTCTTAAAGCGTCAAGCGAGCGGCAGCTTGTGAAGAGAAATGGGCATGATGAAGAACGGTGATTGCTAGGTTGGTGGAAAAGTTCCAACAAGGCTCCCTCGTATAAAATTACTTCTCATACTGGAAACGGCAGTAATTGGGAAATCAATGAATATTCAACCATGGCCGACTTCCTCGGCACTAGGGTTAAACTTCCGCACAAGCAGTAAAATATCAGGCCTCTTGTATAAAAACATTAATTTTTCTTCTTGGCATGCCTCCTGACTCTTTCCATATGACTTGAATAATCGACCGCTATTGGGCACTGCTTTTACTATTTCATCGGATGGTGCTTGGTGACATGAAACTGTTCTATCATAAGCTTTTTTTTCTTCCTAAACTTTTGTGCGCAGCGAATCAGGAGACCGTGAGCACATACTTTTTCTAACTTGTTTTGAGGCTACGAGCATACTACGCAGAAAACTTGGACGATTATTTTTGCTTTTACTTCATTTATTGCCATTGAAAAGCATTTAGCACATTCTTCATATACAGAACTCAATTGCCAACATGGTTGGTCAACCAAGCAACATTGGCTCTTTGAAACGGAAAGCCGGACGTGCAGCTATACGTTCTATACGTTGCTTCAACTCCCGCCTATCGAACTGATTGCCCCTGAAATCACTGTTTATAGGTTGTTCCTAATCACAGTGGCCTCTATGCATGTGCGACAAACTAGGCCTGAATGAACTGCAAGAAGGCTTGATAGGCAAAATAGCTCGTATAGATTCATCATGGTACCTTGGCAGTTGGATGCGAAAATGCTTCAGGCCCATGTGCTTATGTTGATGCACTGATACGTGGTGATTAACGTCCCAAAACCACCACATGATTACGTGACACTTCGTAGTGGTGGGCTCCACAACTTTCAACCACCTGGGGTTTTTTACCATGCACCCAAATCTGAGCAGACTGGTCTACACCAATATCACCTCCATTGAAAATGCAGCTGCCGCAGCCGGCATTCAATTGCACGACCTTCGGGTTAACAGTCCAGTGCCATAACCACTAGACCACCGCTTCGGGGCCATGTGCTTATGTTTAAGTGCATGTTAAAGAGTGCCAGAGGGTAAATATTTCTTGAGCTATCCACAGCAGCGTATCTATAAATCATATGGTGCTGTTTGAACGTTCAACCTCAGGAATGATTTATTATGACTCATTAACGTGGCAGTGAAAACAAGCGGAACCGAGATGAAATGGTACAAAAAGAAGCCCTGTTGTGTTCCGCTGCTACCGTGGCTATTTCGTTTGCACTGTGAGGTTATATAATGAATAAATCAACTAGGTTCTTGACCTAGTTCTTTAAAACAAAGTACTTAGTTTCTACTACAATAGCCTAAGGCAACTGTGAGACCGAAACCAGGATTTTCTAGTCTACAGCTTTCTGTCATCCGCCTTACATCGTTCACCTTACGCGCATACCTCATCGCCGCGGACATGAACTGCAAGTTTCACGCCCACGTGCTCGCACCCTCACATTTTCCTCTTAATTTTTCCCCCGAGCAGCAACAGATTGGAATGGCCTTTCCCACACCATTGCAGTCATTACTAATCCATCAAACTTCTTGGACAAAGTAACAAACTTTCTTAACGAGTGAAGTCACCTGGCTACACTGCCCACCCCTTATGTAATGCCCTCTTGAGGGGTCTTTAGTGAAGTAAAGTGATGATGTGATGTGAATACTTTGGTAACCACCTTCTCCATGATCTATTCACACCGAAACTTGTTGGGCATGACCTCTGCGATTTGGGGCAATGCAATGTTTTTGCACATCGCCTGGCTTTGTTGTGCCTACAGGATCAGCCTATTTCACCAAGCGACGAAATTACGTGATAACGTTATATTGTGACGTCAAGCTAAGTAAAGGCATCATGTCAAGTTTCGGTGACATCTGAGGTCGTGATGACGCTATATCATAACTTTATCACGTGGCAACTTTCGGCATTACTTGTGTGGACGCCACGTACTTTGACAGTCACTTTTGGCGTCTTGTGAGGCATCTACGATTGTCTATTTATTATGCGTGTGATCTCCCATTTCAACTGCGTCATCTGACCACCCCAAAGTAGCCAACGCATCCAAGTTGTAGCTCACCTCCAGTGTATGCTGCTTTCAGAAGTCCCTCGTACCACGACCTGTCACAGACCAGGTTCCAGCGAGCGATGGCGTTTCTGCCAGGCGTATCAGGTTTATATGCGAAGCTTTCGCAGCGGACCACACTGGCGTTGGTTGTGTGTATTGTCACAGGTGACTGGGTGCTGGCTTCCAGATTAGGGGTCGCGGGGGCGCCAGCCTGCGACGTGGATGCTGCTAGGGGTGAAGCTGGCGCATCGAGCGGCTCGTAGCGTTCGCACTGCTTGAAGTCCCTGTTAGAGTCACGTGGGATGGCGATGTCCTTCCACGTCTGCTCGGATAGGGTGGCGAACTGCTGCGGAGGCGCACACCAGTGCTCTACCGGCTCAAGATCGATGAATAGTAGTGTGAAGCTGTAGGAGTAGGCGAGCATAGTTGCCAGCTGCGTTGAGCAGGAGCGAAATGATTGTTGGTGTACACACAGGAATGTTTTCGTTGCTTCAAGGGGGCACCCATCTTCGGAGAGGCGGCGCATGATAAGTGGAACAACCTCTCACTGATTGTGCCCAGCGTCTGATTTTTTTTTATTTCACACTTTCCGCTTTTTGCGAACGAGTGCTGGCCACCTGGTCTGGTGCCTGGGGCAGCTGACTTGAGCAGCATCGTGTATCATTTATAACGCTAGTTTGATACCTATTGAATGTTGCCTCTGTAGGGATGAGCGTTTAATATTGTCACCAGGGCACCATTAGATACTTTATTACTCAGGGTCATATATATAAAACAGAGCGTTTTTAAAGAAAATACCAGATACCCAAGGGCGACAGCATACCCATTTACCTCGTTTATTTCTCTCGGATGGCTAGCCACTACATTTACGCTAACATTAGAGAATAAGTCTAGCCCCAGAGTCACCAACTCTGACCAGCCTCGAAATGCTTTGCAGTTCTGTAGGGGTTGGGTGAGAAAACCGGGGGTCAAAAATGACACCTCACTTTAAAAAACTCCTAGGAGAATATTTCAGCCAATCCGGACATGAAACACAGAGGGAGCGATGCTGGCCGAACAGTACAAAAATAACCCATGAAAGACATGATTTGCAGATTGGTACCAGATTATGAATTCACTGTCAAATACATTTGATAGCACGCACCTGTGCACAGAGGAGCATCGTCTTCTGGAATCGGCCGTGGCCGAACGCAGACCTGCTCTCTACCTGGGTCTCTGATGGCGTCATGTAGCCGTCCTGTAGCCTCGGCGTGGTGAGGAACCGTGATGCCGCACTGGCAGAACCCACACTGCCCGGCAGTCGGCACATGTCCGCACTGTTGGAGGGAGGCACGCTGCTTTTGGCGGAACCTTTCACCATCTTCGCCAAAGTGGACGCTGGCTGGGGAAGATCGGAGCTAGAGCGCTGCGACATCTTGGAGGCTCGTTCTTCTTCTGCTTCTTCTTCGTGCGTCTGGTTCTTGTTTTTGTTGACATTCACTTGTGGCTCATACCCACTGTAGGACATTGGAATATAATTGAGTGGTCTTATAAAACATAATTCAAGTTTAGAGTAAAAGAACTGATAGAGTGAAAACGCTACTATTCTTGCACGATGGTCATTGCATGCAGATTGGCATTCTATACTTTCAGGGTCAAAGTATTTCGTTGAAATGGGAAGAGCTGCTTTTGAGGATTTGAGAGGCGCATGACCACAACAGCCGCCAGAAAATCGAAAAAGAAAAAAAAAAACGGTGCCGAAAGAAAAAAACGGTGCCAACACCTTTCAATCAAGAGTAACTAGTAACTTCAACAATTTTTTTTCGATGCAATACATGTTGTATTTCTGCGTTGCTTTTACGTTATTTTTTATATAAACTATTTCGATAGGACTGTATGATGCCGAATTGACTCACTTGAAACTTTTAAAGCAAAGAAAACAAACTACCTACCTGAGCACGGTGATAGAACATACTGGTTTAGCAATGATAATATATGACTCCTAGTAAGTGCGCACGTCACTCACTGCATCACAAAAAGAAATTGCCTTGAAACATTCTTCACACTAGTTCCTTCACAGCTGAAGTTTCTAAACTTTTTTCGGGCGCCTGGTCATTGTGTATTAGAATTAAATGAAAAGGCTGACTCAATAGCCCCAGTGGCTATATATAGTCTTATACTATAGGTCCGTTCTGTGGCGGCCTATACAACTGCAACAAGATATACATCATTTTAGCTTCATGCAGATGCAATAAATTAGCAAGTTCATGTCCAGAACACAGTCATTTAAAGCGTTCGTCGAAAATTCATTGGTGTAATTTAAATATTAGGAAGTCATAACAACCAGGTTGCGATGTCGTGTACCCCCGTTAATAATACATTCACACAGGCTGGTCTGGGGATAAAACCCGCATACAATCTTTTTCTAAAATGAAAGCAATAGAACGCTACTGGTTGTCATGTCGCCGCTACAGGTTACATAAAAGACTACTTCATATCGCGTTCGCTAACCCTGGGCTTTACTTCATAAGTAAGGACATAATTTCTTTTGGTGCATCGGATTCGGGCTTGAGTCACAGGGACACTTTTGAGGCCGTTTGTAGTTATTTTCAAAAAGACAAAAGAAATACGGCTTTCAATTCCTACTTGTAGTTTTTAATGTTGAAGTGATAAATAGGGACCACCATCGCCGCCGTCTTCGGTGGTCCCACCATGCGTTGGCTTCGCGCGGAACAGCGTCTGTGTAGTCGAGTCCAACGCAGGAACGAGACCTTTACAAGTTACATCGAAGATGTCTTCTCTTTGCAAGCACGTCGATGCATCTCTAACCGAACACAACAAAATCAGGCACATTATCAAAGGAGTCGACGACGATACCTTTCAGATGCTCGTCGCTAGGAATCCACGGACCGTCACCGATGTTGTCCAGCTCTGTCAGGAGTACGACGAGTTGCGTAAGCAGCGTGTCTCGACGCGCAGGGCCACTGAAGATACAGCTGAAATTTCCGCCCTCCTGCATGACGTCGCTGCTGATCACACCGTCTTACTGCCTCACATGAAACAATTCATTCGTGAAGAAGTTGCGCGTCAACTTTCTCTTGTGGCCGAAGCATCCGAGCCAGCGACCTCGTTAGACCCACGTCTACGCAAGGTCATTGAGACACAGGTCACGCAGGCACTGCCTACGCCGCTGTTGTTGCTAGACCCCCAGCCCCACCTGTCTCTAATGCATACAATATGCTGAAACATGGCACAATTGTAACGTCAAGCAGTTCCTGGGCCTCTCCAGTTGTGCTGGTGAAGAAGGACGGATCCATAAGGTTATGCGTGGACTACTGACGTCTCAACCGAATCACGCGCAAGGATGTCTATCCGCTGGCAAGAATGGACGATGCTTTGGACTACCTACAGGGAGCCAATTTTTTCTTTTTTTAGATCTGCCCTCTGGATACTGGAAGGTACCTATGACATAGGCCGATCGAGAAAAAAAACAGCTTCCATTACGCCTGACGGGCTGTATGAATTCAGAGTCATGCTCTTCGGCCTCTGCAACGTGCCAGGTACTTTCGAGCGAATGATGTACTCTATCCTTTGAGGCCTTCAAATGGAACCTTTGCGTTTGTTATTTAGATGACATTGTCGTTTTTTCAACTGATTTCGTAACCCAGTTAACCCGCCTCGAGAAAGTCCTCACTTGTATCTTCGCCACGGGGCTGTAACTGAATCTGAAGAAGTGCCATTTAGCCGCTCGAAAGTTTACGATCCTTGGCCACGTGCTTTCGAAGGACGGCATTCTGCCTGACCCTGCCAAACTTACAGCCGCTTCAGCGTTTCCCAAAGCGACCACAATGACACAGCTCAGAAGCTTCATAGGCCTTTGCTCCTACTTCCGGCGCTTCGTCCGCAATATGACAACGATCATGGCTCCTTTGACCAAGCTCCTCTCCGGCTCTAGAGACCTTTCGACCTGGTCTGTCACCTGTGACGATTCTTTCAATGAACTGCACCGCCTCCTCACGTCGCCGCCTATTCTGCGACACTACGACCCATCGGCATCCACAGAGATTCACACCGACTCTAGTGGTGTCGGGCTGGGCGCTATTCTTGCACAGCAGAAAGACGACTACCAAGAGTACGTGGTTGCCTACGCAAGCCGAACTCTTAGCAAAGTCGAAATCAACTATTCCGACACTGAAAAGGAATTCCTCGCCATTATTTGGGCGATAGACAAATTTCGACCTTACGTGTACGGGTGCCCTTTTGACGTCGTGACTGACCACCACGCCCTCTGCTCGTTATTGTCACTGAAGGATCCAAGTGGTCGCCTCGCCCGATGAGCGTTACGCCTTCAGGAATATGATATTCGCGTTGTGTATCGCTCTAGCCGGAAACATTCGGACGCAGACGCCCTCTCCCGTTCACACTTACTCCCTGACCAGGCCTGCTGCGAAAATCTCATCTGTGATGCCACTGCTGTCACCATCATCGACATGCCATCTGACACACGCAAGGACCCTTTAGTTGCTTCAATTCTAGACTTTCTGGCTGGCGGACAGCTTCTCCTCCTGCTCACGCGTTGCGTCGGCAAGTCGAGCACCTCACCACTCACGGCGACGTGCTGTACCGACGCAACTACGTACCCGGTGGACGTCAGTGGCTACTCGTGAATCCACGTCATCTGCAATACGAAATTCGTTTCACGTTTCATGACGACCCCCAATGTGACCACGCAGATTTCCTGAAGACTTGTTCTCGCATACGGCTCCGATATTACTGACGTGGCATGTACCGTTTTGTACGACAGTATATTTGGGCTTGCTCGACGTGCCAGAGACAAAAGATCCCCCCTCATCACGACAGTGGTAGCTTATTACCTTTACCATGCCCATCCCGACCATTCGATCGTGACGGCAACGATATCTATGGCCCCTTCCCAACACTGCAGACAGTAACCACTGGATCATAGTTGCCATCGACAACCTCACGCGGTATGTCGAAACTTCATCCGTTTCCCTCGTCTACAGCAAAAGACGTTGCGACATTCGTTCTTCACAACATCGTATTACGTCATAGAGCACCTCGAGAAATACTGAGTGATCGTGGTCGCGTATCCTTGTCACACGTCATTCACTGTACTACAAGCGCCTATCATCCCAAGACCAATCGAATGACAGAACGCTTCAGCCGCACACTTGGTGACATTCTGTCTATGTACATCTCGTTAGACCACTCCAATTGGGCCCGAGTGCTCCCGTTTATCACGTTCGCCTAAATTACCACCATTCAAAGCACTACTGGGTTCTCTCATTTTTTTCTTTTTTACGGACGTGAACATTCCTGCACTATGGACACCAATCTTTCGTACAGACCTGACTCCTCGGAGTCCAAAACTCTGTTTCAAGCCGCTACATACGTTGAAGAATGCCACCAACTGGCAAGATCATTCACAACCCAAGACCGAGTATGCCAAAAGCACCACCATGACGCATCAATCAACAGTCATTCCTACGATCCACGTTCACTCGTCTGGCTGCGTGTACTTTCCGCTACACCTGGCCTTTCTCCCAAGTTGCTCCCCAAGTATCACGGCTAATATCGTATACTACAAAAAAGTCACCGTTGAATTACCTCATCGAGTCACTGCAACCATTTTCTAACCGTCATCGTCGTGGCCTGAAAATTATCCACGTGTAAAGGCTTAAGCCCTGCTACAACCTTCCCGTGTTTACTTGTCCATAGGTCACCAGGATAGCTCCTTATTTCCCGGGGAGTAACTGTAATGAATCTGAATAACGGACGCTCTGCTGTTCCTGAAAAAGACGATGATGATCGAAGTAGATCCTCCATGAGTGGTCACAACGTGGTTTATTTCGACGTTTGGGCCCAGAGTCTGACCTTCATCAGGATTGAAGGTACAGTTTGTTGGTACTCAGCTTTATACAATCTCAAATCAGAGGGACAGAGAGAAAAAAAATAAAAAAGGAAAGAAAAAGAAAAAATAATAAAAGCGAAAAAAAGAGAAAGGGAAAAAGAAAGAAAGAAAGAATAACAGGTGGACAATCCCCAGGCGCCCCCCTCGCACTCTTCGTTCCACTTCCCCTTCCATCTATTTCCCCTTTCTTCCCTTCACCTATCTGATGTCAGCGGTCTGTGTATGCTTCCTTTCACTAACGCATTCTTCCCGACCAGACGGCGCCTCCTGGCTCTGGCGGTTCGGTGTGGGGTAAAAAGAGCTTTTTTAAGAAGTGTAAGCCTTTAACTCTTCAGCGCCCTGTCGACATTTCGTCGTAGAAAGAGGGGTGCCACGTATTGCGGCAGAGGCCTGTAAGCGGGCGCAATGCGAATTCCTTGCCCGCTTCTGGATTACGCGTACAGTAGGGCCCTCCGAACTGTGCACAGGGTTGCTGTTCGGCATGTCATGCTTTGGCAGCTTATCTGCATGTCAACATGCTGTTCCGCATGCTGTTCGGCATGTCAACAATTGGCAGCTTATCCACGAAGTGAATGATGGAGATTG